GCGTCTGCGGCGTCTGCCACTGGAGGAATTCGGCCTGGAGATTTATTCGCCTCTCTCTCTCTCCCCTTCGCGAAATAAAGCCCAGGGACAGGGAGGCGCTTTAGCCGCAAGGCTGCCTGCCGTGAGCACCCCACCCCGCCCCGCCCCACCACGCCCCGCCACAACACCCCTCTGGCCAGGGAAAAGCCGCGGAAAAAGGAAGAATCGGAGTAAAGGGTTTGTGATGACAGACTCAACTTTTGTAAGAAAAACAAAAACAAAAAAAAACAGCAACTACACAAGATTCACGCACGCTGAAAATTACTAAACGCGTTTGTTTCCTTGCTGCGCACGGTGGTCATGACGGCGCGCGGCACGCCCCCCGGCGATGTCACCAGCACGTGTCGGGCAAGGAGCCGGGCCGGGCCGGCGGGCACCGCCTTCGACGCCGCGTCAGAACAACCTGGCTCGCGCGCGTGGCGGCACGGTCTCGCGACAAAGTAGAAGTGCAACGACTACGGAAAAAATACCACCGAAATAAAACAAGCTGTTAGGCTGTTGGAAGAGGAGGATCAGCACAGTGTAAGAACACGCGTGAAGCTTGGAGGAGGCAACGCGTGCGACCCTCCAGCGCGGGGCGGGGCCTGTCGTCTTCCAGCGCGGACTCCAGCGCCATCAAACAGTCGAGTCGCCTCGCTTGCATTGGACTTCAAAGTTGGTGCGGCGGCCCCCGCCAGCCCATGTCCACTGTGTGCAGTAGCAGCGGCGTGGCGGCCGAGCTGCCGGGCTTGAAGGGTTTCTGCGCGTTGGCAGTGGAGCACTTAGCCGACTGTAGTGAAGTCAAGCCTGCGAAGGCAGTCTAGTACGCGGCGGCGGGGCCCAGGGCTCGAAACGGGGACCGCGGGCTCCAATTCGTTTTTGTATATTTTTCCCTGCTGCACCGCGGCTGTGCCAGCGCTGTCTGTCCCTTGTAAAAATGAAAGTCCGGCTCCAGACTGGGTTTAGTCCGACAATCCGGATCGATTCCAGACTGTTTCCGGACCTGCCGGACTCCCGACTCGTGTCTGGAAAAGGTGCGGAAAACGACCATACGCCGCACTTTTTCCGGACTCGGAGTCCGGCAAGCTGCTCCAGACGCAGTCCGGGAAATCGTCCAAAAAGTCAGGCCGAAGTGCGGGAATCGTACGGAGCTCCGAAGCACAAAAACATGCGCGGGCTGGATTGGAACGTCCGCCCTCCGGACTCGATGCCAGCACCTTAGACCACTGCGCCACTCCGCCACATGGGGAGGAAGCGGTGCGGGGAGCCACTTGGCTGAAGCCCCCGCGGGCCGCGCGCGCACTCCCTCTACGTCTGTATCTACGTAAAGAAAAGACGCACAGGTATGCCGTTTGGTCGTTGTCGGCGAAGGCAATGTAGGCGACCGGGGGAGCAGCCAGTTGGGCACTACGCCTTCGGAGAGAACGACCGTAGCAGACAGCCGTGTGGGCGCTCGCCGCGGTCGGGTCAGTCCCCGAAACGAACTGCCGTTGAAGGCGCTCACCGGTCAGGGGACCGAAGGTGACCCACAAGGAAGCGAACGTTCGCGGGTCAAACGCTGATCGGTGAAAACGTGCTTACAGACTAGTTACAACGCTAACCTAGGTCGCCAGCGCGAGCGGGCGGCGGCTCGGCGCGCGCAGCGCCATCTCGCGGCGACTCGCGGAACCTCGTCCGCGCGCGAGGCCAGTATGGGCGGTGACAATACTTATTGAAAAGAAAACTATGGAATGCGTTTACTGCCACGAACAGATGGAACCTTGCGCCTGGTTTTTATATCTGTAACCGATAGGATGAAATATTATATTAACTCCTTGTGACAACGTGTGCATTTTGCTTCAACGACGAAAAATATTCTAAGTTCGAATTTAGTACGGCGATTTCCGGACTTCGTCGGGCACCTCCTGACTTCAGCCGGACCAGGTATGGTGACCTGACTACTGCCGGATTAGGTCTGGGACCTCCTGACAACTGCCGGACTAGGTCGGGGACTACCCCGACGTTAGCCAGACCAGGTCGGGCACCTCCCTGACGATAGCCGCACTTGGTCGGGCACTGTCCGGACCAAACCCAGCCTTCGTCAGACGCGCCCTGACTACACCCGTACCATTCCCGGTCTGGATCCGTACCAAATCCGTACTTTCATTTTTACAAGGGTTTGCTGGAGGGAAATCATAACTTTCTTTTTGACAACATTTTTTCCCGCCAGCGGTTGCGTCGAGCCTGGCGGCTTTTGACGCGACTAATACAGACGGAGATGCTCCCCCCTTCCACTTCCGCGTCGATTGTGGAAACACATTTACATGAGCGACGCTGGGGGAGGAATTACAGTGTTCGCATGCCTCTGCCTGCTCCGACCGCCGCTACTTCGCTGCTCCGCCGCCACGCACTCAAAAACTTTTACCCGCAAAGTTATGTCGAAACCAAAAGCGGGCTAAAGATTTGGAGCGCGCCGAGCCGGAGCGAGAGCGGGCCGAGCGCTCTAATGCGCCAAAACGTGCACTCTGCGTGCACCCACAGCGAGTCCCACAAACCGACGCACAGTGGATTTGCCAGAAGACCGGTGGAGGCGCGTTTTCAGCTCGAACACAACGTGTGACCCCACCAATGGATTGCTCTCTGAACGAGGAATCCATTGGTAGGGTCACACGTTTGGTTCGGGTCCTGTTTCGATCTGGAGGTCAAAACCCGTCCAAAATTTTGGCCGCCTCCACCGGTCTTTCTGGCCCGCCGTGCGACGGCGCGGCCCAAACCCTCTGCATTCACGCGCACCTCTCTGCGATCCGAATCTAGCCCGCTGCGCTGCGCTGCGCTGCGAACACAACTGACACAAATTCGATAAAATTGCTGAAACCATATCCCCCCCGGAGCCGGCTGGAAGATTGATGGCGTGTCCCTGCCTCTCTCTCCTTCGTCCTGAAAGGGCCCGGCCAGGCACGGCCAGGCACGCCGGGCCGGCGCCGACGAACGGGTGCAGCGGGACTGCCAGTGACGCACTCGATAGCACCAGGCGAGGCAACTTAACAACAACAACAACAAACTAGTGAAAAGGGGAGCCCTCCTGAAAACTGAGTCTATAGACTGACGCAACCTCCGCGCAAACAAACGAATCCAAAGCGGAAGAGGAAGAAAAAAGAGTGTGCGTAGTGAATAGATTCTCCGCGCAGACTAGCGTAACCGATGCGAGAATAAGCCTTGACATGTGCGCGGATTATTTTCATTCGTCCATTCGGCCGCGGGTTCGTTCATGCCCACCGGCATACGCAAATCCGGGGAGGAAAAACCGAAAAAACAAAATATCGCACCAAAAGGGGTTTTTTTTTGCATCAAAACGATGTGATTTCCGCCATGCGCCGTGCACCAGCGAACGCGACAGAAGTTGGTAATTAAAATGTCCCTTGCTCGCGTGGGGAAAAATAAGAAGAGAGACGCTCCTCCATTGAAGCGAGCGAAAGGGGCGAAAGGGGCGGCGCGGAATGAAATCCTAACAACAAGGGGGGCTGCGCCAGGCCGGGCCAGGCCGGCCTCCAAAAGCCACGCCCAGCCACAAAAGGATTCTGTTGGAACGCAATAAATAACAAACGATTAATGCTATTCATTGCGGCCTGAATGCGAGCTGCTTCACCTCAGGAGCGACCCGGCCAGCCACCCCTTCCCGGTTTGACACGAATTACACTCGGCAAAAAAAGAAGAACCTGCCACAATGGGTCCTTAAATTTCCCCTTCCCCCCAAACAAATGACTAATTCAATAAACGTTTTTGGTTTTTGATATGCCGCGCCTGGAAGTCTATTTTCCTCCTTTAAACTACACGTGCTTCCCACAAAAAAAAATCACACAGAAAAAAATACAAACAATTAATTACAAGATGTTGGCGGACCTGACAGAGGAAGAAGGGGGAGAAGAAGGAGGGAAAACAATCAACTTCTCCTTATTTCATGAGCGACGCCCGCCGGCGCGATGAGCAATACCAGAGGCGCCGGCGCGCGGCCGATGCGTGAAAGAAAAATAGTCTCGAGGCGGCGGCGGCCAGGGGGCGGGGGCGTCTTAATGGGGGTCACCGCGCGCCACCTGCGGTCCCGCTGTGTTATTGAATCACGCCGAGAGGAAGGCGGCCCTTCTTATTCATGGAGGGACGCGACGCGGTGGCACTCGCTAGTTTGCCAAACTTGCGTCGCGAGCCGAGCACGTGACGGGAACAAGTTAAGCCGCGACGATTGAGTACCCCAAACGAGGCGCGGCGCGGCGCCACCCAAGTGCGTCCGCTGAGCGAGCGAGTTAGCGCGGAGGGCTTGACGGCGCGGCGGGCCGGACTACACGGCCATGTAATTGAAAGATGAAGAGGCTCGGCGAACAAAAGGCGGCGGACCGATTTAAAGAGCGGAAGGGGAATCGGAGACGCGCCTTGCACCGATTTAAAGAGCGGAAGGGGAATCGGAGACGCGCCTTGCACCGATTTAAAGAGCGGAAGGGGAATCGGAGACGCGCCTTGCACCGATTTAAAGAGCGGAAGGGGAATCGGAGACGCGCCTTGCACCGATTTAAAGAGCGGAAGGGGAATCGGAGACGCGCCTTGCACCGATTTAAAGAGCGGAAGGGGAATCGGAGACGCGCCTTGCACCGATTTAAAGAGCGGAAGGGGAATCGGAGACGCGCCTTGCACCGATTTAAAGAGGGGAAGGGGAATCGGAGACGCGCCTTGCACCGATTTAAAGCGGGCGGCGAAATTAATCGCGGCACTGTAGAGGCACTCCTCTTCCTGCATTAACTCCAGGGGGCCGCTGTGCAGCGCGCGGCTGGAACAAACAGAGCCGCTCTCCGGCGTCGTCCATGATCGCGCCGAAAGGCACGGCCAGGCGAGTCCCTTTGAAGTCCCTGCTTCTTACGCCGCCCGCTCCAAAGACGAAAACACAAGTAGCGCCACTCGCAGCGCGGCGACGCGGCGGCGCGCTACAAAAGCAGAGCTGCCTTCGGCTGCCTTACCTGCCGGCTGCTGCAGGATGGCCTCGGTGATGTACGGCACGGTGGGGGTGACGGGCGGCGCCTGTGTCGGCGCGGCGCTGCTGCCGCCGGGGCCGGGGCCGCCGCCTGGTGCCGCCGGGGCAGCCGTGCTGGCGGCGGGGACTGCCGCCGTCGACGCCGCCTCCAGCGGGGCCTCCAGGGGCGCCGCCAGCGCGCAGCGAAGCACCAGCAGGCAGCATCCTGCGACAGAAGAGGCCTTTCTGATGCAGTGATGCACTCGGCGGGCTGGACGAGACACGTTAGGGTGTGGTCCCCTGGTGAGGCTCGAATCAAACACACACATGAGGGTTCTATTCGGGGTTCTTTTGGACTCTCTTATACAAAGGGCCTCCCGTTCACGTCCTGCAGATGAAACACGCCCAGAACTGCGTCGGCCTGGACGTCCTCGCAAGCGGAATTTTCGAAGTGGTTGCGTTAATGCCGGCGTAACCGCACTGGTAATTGTCGCCATTGGCTGGCTTGGGTGGCTTGGGCGGCTCGCCACGCCCGGCCGCTGCTCCAGCCGTCCAGGTAAGGTATAACGGCTGGCCATTTGGCAGTGCCGCCACGACGGCCGCCCTGCCCGCATGCCGCAAGCAGACGGCCCCAGCGGGCCCCACCGGGCCCCAGCCACGCCCGGCCGCAGCCCCCATGCCGAGCAAGCGACAGAGGGGGCGATCAAACCCCGAACCCGCTACCCCCAAGCCGTTACCCCAAACCCCTCGGCTACCCTCGGTTTTCCCCGGGTTACCCCGCTCGGACCCCATCAAGGGGCCATCAGGGCGGGCCGGGCTGCGGCCGGGAGCCCTTTTTGCATCCCTGTCCGTCTGGGCACGGCTGGGCGCGCGCCAAAGAGTGCGACGGAGAGGGCCTGCTTCACAATGGCGGCCTGCCCGTCTCACCGCCCGACCGCCATGTTCGGCATGTGTCATCTTCGACAGCTTCCTATTCAAGTCCCGTCCCGACGTCCGTCTAGCGCTCATTTTCTGCGACCGGGCCACGCTGGGCCACGCCGAGCAACGCCCACCCAGTTTCTCCCGCACTTTGCATGTCTCAGGAGCACACAAAGCTGGCCGTGCCGGCGACTCGCGGAAGCGCTTTTAAATACTGGAACAGCCCTGAGTACCAATTAACTGCCCGTCTCAGCCGGAGCAGTACTCGGCTCATCTTAACACCCGTACTGATTTTGCTTTTATTTTTGTTACATTTTTTAATGTTACATTTTTAAAGGTGTTTTTTTTCTGGTAATTTCTGCTCGTGGAACAAAGACAAGAGCGTCCAGCACTCTTTCAGCAGGGTCCGGGGTCGGGCCGCCTGGCTCGCCGGGCTCGGCTGGGCCACAAAGTCTCGGTGCGGCTCGGCTGACATCGTAATCATCCGGGGTGAGATGTAATTTACAAGAGCACGGGGCACACTCCCACTGGGCAAGTTGAAATAAGGAGGAGATTGCCAGAAATGAAAGAGTCTGCCTGGGCCGCCCCGCCACGCCCCGCCACGCCCCGCCACGCCCCGCCACGCCCCGCCCCGCCCGCCCCGCCACGCCCCGCCCCGCCCCGCCCCGCCACGCCCCGCCACGCCCCGCCACGCCCCGTCGGCCCCACCAAGTGGGAGTGGGAGGAGGCGACCAGGTCAACGGGGTAACTTGAGCGCGCTTCGTGCTCAGGAGGGCAAAATAATGGACATGCCAGACTAATTTGTTTCGCTCTCGGAGATATTTTGAGAGAGGTTGGCACACTTATTTTTTTTCAGACAAAGAGCACAGGCGCACTACTTTCTCGCCCAGTTCAACATTCCAGGACGAGGGGGTAACCACTCGCGTAATACCCTGTACACAAAAACCGTGTATTACGCGTAATACACGTGATCGTAATACCATTTTTGGGTCAAATGTGCCAAACTTGGGCATTTTAGGGCCGTAATACACGTGTAATACACCCGTAATACAGCGTAATACCGAGTAGTCTGTACACGATTTCTTGAAGTGTTTACCCCCTCGTTCCAGGATGGTTAGCGACGCGTGGTTCGCAGGTTCACAGCGTCGCTGCCGTGGGGCCGAGGCCAGGCTCGGAGCGAGTGACGGCCTGAGGGGAGAGCAGAGATCTCCGGTCGAAAGTAAACTGCCGGAACACTAGAACGCCTCCCGGACTTGACGCCCACCACAGCAGCTCCGAGATAGTGGGCGGTGCCGTCGCCCGGGGGTCTCCGCCTTGGTCTCCGCCTTGGCGCTGGCGTCCACCACACTGTGCGGTACAGCGCGGTGCCGCGAGGCCGCGAGGCGGCTCGGGGTCGCGGGGAAGGCGGACACCGAGGAGCTCTAGTTTGATCTGATCGAGGCGGAGTTTCTCTGAGGCAAAGCAGCGCTTTCGTCGCTCTGTCTCTCTCGCACTCACGGCGGCACCCCGCGCGCCCGCAGGGCCGCAGGGCGGCGCGAGATAGAGACGGAGTGACGAAGAAGCGCTGTTCGAAATCAGCCTGCAGCCAGGCAGCGGCGGGCCCCCGGCCGGGGCTCTTTGCATCACAAAGTGGCTTGTTTGTTCGTGCAGCCGCTCTAAATGCAGGCGATGGACAGCCGCGCCCCAACGGGCCCAACGGCCCCGGCGGCCCCACCCCACCGCAAGCCACGCGCAAGGAGCTCTCCGATCAGAAAAAACAAACGAGAGCGCTGGCCCGGCCACTCATTCTGATTGACTTTTTTCCCTCCGCCGTCTCTGATTGTCCACGCCGTCCCCGCCCGCCCCCCCGCCCCGCCCGCCCGCCCCCCGCCCCGCCCCGCCCCGCCTTGCATCGCCCGGCCGGAGGGCGCTGCTTTCAAGCGCGAGTTAAAGCGTTGGCGTTCTCTCGCACGGCCTCGGCCGCTTCCAGTGCCACAGCCGCTTTCAGGCCGCGCGCTTTTTCTCGAGTAAACAATGCGGCGCGGCCAGGCACGGCCTCCTCGATACGGCTGACAATTTGATTGGCCGCGAGTGCGACGCGAGAGGGCTGCCGCTGTCCCCCTGGAGGGTCAAACGGGCCGTGGGGCCCGCGTGGGGCCCGCGTGGGGCCCGCACCGCCGACGCCGGGGCCCCGCCTACATGATCACACCGCACTGTCTAGCCAGCATTTTATTGCATGCCCGGCCCTCCGTGCCACACCCCAGCCCGCCCCGCCCCGCCCCGCCTTGTCAGAGGAAGGGCGCCTCCTGCTGGCTGGAGACTGTCACTTGGCAACAATGTAGCCGCCGAGATAGGAAATATCTCTGGACCTGAACCATGTCCTGGCCGGCCACTATCACCCCAAGCGACCGCTCCGCCCGCTCCGCCCCACCCACTGTCACTCCCGCCCATTTCCATGTGGGAATGCGGAGAAGTAGAAGGAGGAGAAGGGAGAAGTTGGCGCGCGTGCATGAGGCGGAGCCAAGACCAGAAGTAAAGAAGCGAGAAAGGGTTGCGGGGAGGGAGGGAGACGGGTCATCAGGTGCTCGCCGCGCTGGCCCGGGGTGGTTGGGGCCGACACCACGGCGGGCAGCGGCACCGCGGGGCAGCTTGAGCGCGCGAAATGACCCTGAAATTGCTCGCCCCAAACAAGCCGGGAGTGGAACGCGCGTCCCGACTTCGCCTCGCCTAGCCTCGCCTAGCCTCGCCCGGGGCGGGGCTGCCGCTGCCGAAAGCTGGCTTGAACCACTAGGCACGCCTCGGCACGCCCTCACGCATTGCCCGACTCATCGGACCCTCCAAATTATCTCCCGCCAACACTGCCTCTTGTCGTCCTCTTTTCCAGCGTGCCATTTCCTTCTTCTTGACCCGGTTTGCGTTCGGCGAGCGTTTGGCGCGAGCTTAGCCGGTCGTGCTGTTTGTGGGACATACTTCCTGTCGGACTTTACCCGCCTCGCCTCGCCCCGCCCCGCCCTGGCTCCACGTTTTGTTGGAGCGTCGCCTCGCGTAGCGGCGGGGCGGGGCGGGGCGGCGTCGTCGGGCCGGCAGAGGCAGAGGCCGAGGTCAACCTGAACGTGATATGCATGCCTGACTGAGTTATAGCCCCGCGTAATCTGATAGCCCTGATATCTTCCATCGCGTGAGGAGCCGAGGCGGCCGGGCCGGGGCTGGGGTTGCTGGGGTTGCCGGGGCTGTCGGCGGTCGCGAAGTTGTGTTCGGTGAAAAACAGTGGGGCAGCAGGGCAGGGCGCGGCGAGGCGCGCACAGAGAGGAGGTGGGCAGAGAGAGAGAGAAAGAGAGAGAGAGAGAGAGAGAGAGAGAGAGAGAGAGAGAGAGAGAGAGAGAGAGAGAGAGAGAGAGAGAGAGAGAGAGAGAGAGAGAGAGAGAGAGACGAGGGCGCCGCCACTCCAGCTTGTTTTACTCCGACTCGGAGGCGCGTGCCAAGGAAGCTTGGGCGACACATGAGAGTGCAGGGCAGGGAGCACCGCAGCGGAGATGGGTTGTAAAAAAAAATAAAACAGCGAGGGAGAAAGAGAGAGAGAGAGCGGACCGCCAGCGCGAGGAACTTGTTCATGAACCGTGGTCTTCGGCACCCTTGTCAGACACGCCGAGCTCCGGAAGCATCGAACTCCCATAAGTGCTGTTTTCAACCTGGCACACTGGCCTATCGCCCACGTACACTCTCACACACACATACAGCCGTAAGCCGTGCCCCGAGGCACCCAGACGATGAGGGTCAAGACGGCTGTCTGTTGCATGTGTGTTCATCGCAAACTTCGTTCTAATCACCCCTCCTCTCCATTAGACAACCCCCGGCGGCTCCTTCCCGGTGCCTGCCGGCAAAGAACTTAAACTTTCACGCTCGCTTCGCCCCGCCCCGCCCCGCCCCGCCCCGCCCCGCCTGCTTTTCCTCCACTCACTTTGCGGGCGCCAAGATGCTGGCTTCATTATCAGCAAAGTGTGAAATTGTTTGGACGCTTGCTCTTTGCACTCGCAAGCGCGCGCACCGCCCCGCCGCGCCGTGAGCCAGCTCGCTGTTACCGCGTCCTCCGCGGCCTCCACGGCCTCCACGGCCTCGGCCCGGGTGCGCCGCACCTGCGCTAAACCGGCGGCCTCGGCCGGGCCGTCGCCACTCGGCCCTCGTCTAAG